ATTACTGAGCATACTGGGGTTACCCTGGAAACGGTTCTAGAAGCACTCAGGATGAAGGAGGATGTGGGCTTCTAGAAGAATCTGATTAGCAGGGTCCTTTCTCTGAAACTCTGCACCCATTTTTATTAGGACAGCTCCCCTCTGTATGCTGTATCCTGTCCCTGCTCCATGTCCAAGGCTTTCAAGATAAGCCCTAAATAGGAGCAATGGAGGAGTACAACTTATAACAAAATATAATGACATACATGTATGAAAAGCATCATAACGAAACCCATTATTTTGTATGCTAATTTAAAAGAACTGTTATCTGTATGGGCGTTTTGCCTCTATGTGTCTGTGTACCAATGTGCTTGCAGTGCCTGTGGAGGTCAGAAGAAGGCATCCGATCCTCTGGAACTGGAGTTACAGATGGTTGTGAGGGACTGTGTGGGTGCTGGGAATAGGACCTGGCTCCTTGGAAAGATCACAGTACCCTTAAGCCATCTCTCCAAGTTTTTGTATCTTAATGAAGAAGGTAGGGGGCGGGGGGGGGAGGTGGGGGGGGGGGGGGGGGGGGGAGGGCTTCAAATGTAGCAAAGTTGGTGGAATGCTTTGATAGCAAGCACAAGGCCCAGGGTTTGATCCCCAGAATCACATAAACCAGGCAAAGTGACAGACATTGTAATTCTAGCATTTGGAAAGGGAGACAGGAGGATCAGAAAGCTCAAGATTATCCTCAGCTACACTGTGAGTTTGAGGGCAGCCTGGACTATATGAAAAGCCCTGTAGGAAGGGAGGGAGGGATGGGGAGGGAAGGAAGGGAGGGAGGAGAGAGAGGGGGGAGGGAGGGAAAGAGAGAGAGAAGGGGAGGGAGGAAAAGGAAAGAAGGGAGGGGAGGGGAAAAAAGAATTGAAAGAATTGGCACAACCCCTCTCCCATCAGGTCTCAAATTACAGCCCAGTGTAATTTGAGCCCAATGGAGCCCCTTTGTCTCAGGAGTTTCTACCTAGCCCCCAAGATGAAACGGGACAGAAAAGCTATCAGCAAGCTCATAGCCAGTGGGCAGCCTACAATGGAAGGGGCATTTTGAAACAGGACTCTTAGACATGGCTATGTGTTCACCCAGCGGCATATCCCTGAATATCAAGATGTGGGGTGCAGTGACCTGCAGCAGGGGTGAACCCCAGCAGCTCCACTTGTAAGGCTTGTCTTCAGGCACACCCTGCTTTTTTTGGTCCCAGCTGCAGTCCAACCCAGTCCCTGTAAATCAAATCCCCTTTTCCAGTAACTCACATGCTCACTACGGAGCAAGGACATGCCCAGAATGAGAAGTGGGTCTAACCTCCGCCTGAGTTGAAAGACAACTCAATTAGTTCAATCCAGTGGCTCTTGCCTCACCAAAATGTCCTATTGCAGGCTGTTCAGCTTCTCTATGTGTTCCTGTTTGTTTTCTTAAGCTTCAGCGTGGGCTGTGACTCACTGTGTGTAATTGATGGCTGTTGCCAGTCCACCATCCAGAGAGCTCAGTCCTGCCCTCCCCAGTTCCTGTCTCACCCCTGGATCTGTTTGCATCCTTTCTGGGGGAAACGGCTTCATCCTCTCCAGGAGCTTTGAAGAAAAAGCCCCCAACATCTTGATTTTGTTTCTAGACTGTCAGGAGCAAGGGCAAGGTGATTCTCTTGGGAGAAGACAACTCCCACCAGTGCCTGATCCTCCACCCCGCCCCAGAACCTGCCTTTTTAGATTCTTGAATTTCTGCTTTCTATGCTTGTTCCTCCCAGGTGAGCTAAGAGCTGGTCATACTTAAAACAAACAAACAAACCTTGAACTAGGGAGATGGCTTAGCAGTTAAGAATTCTTACTGCTTTTGCCCAGGACCTGAGCTCTGTTCCCAGCACTCACACGGTAGTGGTGGCACACAATTCTCTTTAGCTCCGGTTCCCCATCTTCTGACCTCTGTGGGCATTGCACACACATGGTGCACACACATGCAGGCAAAACACTCATGTCCATAAAATAAGCAAAATGAACAAACAAAAATCTAAGCCCTCAATGGTCTGCAGCCAACTAAATCTGCCAGATCTCTTTCCTCACGGGTCCTGGTATGCAATGGCTATGAACAGTGGCTTCAGTGGTAGTGAAGGTAGCTCATTGCCTACATGGGTTTCCCTAAGAAATCTTAGATACAGTTTTCTGGTGAATTTTCAAGTTTTTGATCCCAATGCTGCCCCCAGACAGGTAGACACCTTTGAGGAACTCCAGGGTACAGTGGCCAGGGTTCACAATGGCAAGGTCGTTATGTCCATTTGTCCCAAATTGCAGGAAAAGGAAGATGTGATTGAGGCCCTGCCTTGAAAAGAACCATATTCAAGTTCCCTGGCCGCTGGAAGGTCTGTATCTCAAAGAAGTGGAGGCCCGTCAAATTTAATGCAGATGAATCTGAAGAGATGGTAGTTGAGAAGTGGCTCATCCTTGATGGCTGAAGACTCAAATACAGCCCCATGCAGCGCCCCTTGCACACCTGAGGGCTTCCACTATGCTGAGTCCCACACTTCACCAAACATGTTCCATAATACTCTCACAAACAGTGTCCAGAAATTAAATCGAGGTATGATACACACTGATGGTTCCAGGACTTGGGAGGTGAGGCAGGAGAACTAGGAGTTCAAGACCACCCTCAGTTACATAGCAAGTTTGAGGTCAGCCTGGTCTGCATGAGACCCTGTCTTTCTAGGGAAACAAAGGAGGATCAAAAGTGACCCAGGCCTCAGGGGCCCAGGCCTGTCATCCTAGCACTCAGGAGGCTAAGTCAGGAGGAGTAAGAGGTTGAGGCCAGTCTGGATTTGTCTGCAAAAAACAAAGGCTAGAGATGTAGCTCAGAGGTAGAGTGCTTGCCATCACTTCCCTCCCAGCACACATAAATATCCCAGGTGACTTCCTTATCATTGCCCATCCAGCATGCTTTCTTACACACTAAGCACTCTGGCTACAGGGTATACACCACCACATGCACTTTATAGGGTGTTAGGGATCAAGTCGAGGGTTTTATGCACCTATGTACCTTAGGCAAGCTCTCTACTAACTGAGTTACATCTATAGTCTACATCAGCCCTGCTTTAAATACTTTGAAAAATTGCCGGGTGGTGGTGGCCCACGCCTTTGATCCCAGCACTCGGGAGGCAGAGGCAGGTGGATCTCTGTGAGTTCGAGGCCAGCTTGATCTACAGACAGGACAAAATTAGAGAAGTCAAAAAATCCCTTCAAAAAAAAAAAAAAAAAAAAAAAAAAAAAAAAAAAACTTTGAAAAATTATTCCTGTGGGTGGTAATAGTGCATGCCTTTAATCCCAGCATTTGGAAGGTGGAGGCTGACTAATCTCTGTGAGTTCGAGGCCAGCCTCGTCTATAGAACAAGTTCCAGGACAGCAGGACTATTTGCACAGAGAAACTCTGTCTCAAAAAATACAAAGATACTGCTATATTAATTTATCTGTGTGTACATAAATGTCTACTCCCTACAGTCCCCATCTCCATCCCAAGCCCTGGGCTCACCAGTCACCAAGCAATGAATATTTATTGAACACCTCTAAGAGCTCCCTGTGAGTAGAGTCTTCCCTTCAACATCTGTCTAACAGAGTGCTCCTTGGCTAAGTCGTCTTCTCAATTTTTGAAATCTTTCTAAAAATACTTTATTTTTATTATTTTCAAATTTCTTGTTCTTATTCTAATTTTTTTCTTTTTTCTTTTTTCTTTCTTTCTTTTTTTTTTTTTCTTAGACAGAGTTTCTCTGTGTAGCTTTGGAGCCTGTCCTGGCACTCGCTCTGTAGACCAGGCTGGCCTTGAACTCACAGAGATCCACCTGCCTCTGCCTCCCAAGGGCTGGGATTAAAGGCGTGTGCCACCACGCCCGGCTTATTTGTATTCTTTTATGTGTATGAGTGTTTGGCCTGCTTATATGTCAGTGTACCACATGTATGTCTGGTGCCCACGAGGCTAGAAGTGAACATCAGATTCCCTGGATCTGGAGTTGTACTTGTTTGTGAGACATCGTGTATTTACTGAGAACTGAACCCTGGTCCTTTGGAAGAGCAGCCAGTGCTTTTACCCACTGAGCCATCACCCCAGCTCTGTGATTTATTTTACTTTTAGTTACATGTTTATACGCAAGTGAATGCCAGTGCCCAGGGAGAGTAAAGATGTCAGAGCCCCTGGGAGATAAAGCTGTAAGATGCCTTGTGGGTGCTGGGAACCAAACTGGAGTCCCCTAACTGCTGAGCCATCTTTCCAGCCCCATTTTCTTCCTTGGGCGTTCTGAGAACAGAACTAGGGGCTTTGCACATGTAAGCAAGCACTCTTCTGAGCCAAATCTTCAACCCTGTTTTTGTCCTTTGATTCTCTTTTCCCATTAGGGCCTTCTGAACCCAGACTTGTTCCAGAGTAAGGGAGGATAACCTTAAATCCCTAATCCTCCACCTCCCAAATGCTGGGATTATGGGTATGCACCACCATACCTAATCTGAGCAGGGCTTTGTGCATGTGCGTGTTCGTGTGTTTGTGTGTGTGTGTGTGTGTGTGTGTGTGTGTGTGTGTGTGTGTGTGTGTGTGTATGTCAGAGTTTTGTGGAGCCCAGAGTGCCTGTATTGCTGAGGCTAATCTTGAGCCTTTTTAAAGATTTATTTTTATTTTTAATAATGTGTACATGTATATGAACATGTACATGTGTGCATGAGTGCATTGTGTGTCCACATGTGTGCAGGTACTTGAAGAGGCCAGAAGAAGGCATTGGATCCCCTGAAGCTAGACCAACAGTCAGTTGTAAGCTGCCTGATGTGAGTGTTGGGAACCAAACTTAGAGTTTGTAAAAGCATTATGTATTTTTATCCACAGAGCAATCTCTCCAGCCCTTTGGAGCTCTTGAACTTTTGATCTTCCTGCCTCTGTCTCTCAAGTGCTAGGATTATAGTATGCATCACCATCCTGGGTTCTTTTAGAAATCTTCAAGGGCATAACATATTGTTGTTAATTATAGTTATCACAGATGGATGATAGGTAGATGATAAATAGAAGATAGATACATAGATTTGGTTTGCTTATTTGGGGTGCTATAGATTAAATCCAGGGGCTGGTCCATGCAAAGCAAGAGCTCTACCACTGAACTACATCTGTAGCTCCGACATGATAAATTGCTAAGCACCACCATATGCCAAGCACTGGGCTAGATTTGAAGGATACAAATGATACAAATGATTAGAAGGATACAAAGAGCCAGGAGCACAGTCATAAACCAGGTGTGGTGGTGTGCACCTTAATCCCAGCACTTGAGAGGCAGAGACAGGAGGAGTTCTGTGAGCTTGAGGCCAGCCTGTCTACAGAGTGAGTTCTAAGACAGGCAGAGCTACAGTGAGAACCTGTCTCAAACAGACAGGCAGACAAAGAGCACAGTCTGATGGTGAAGAGAGAGGAAGAGTCAGCTGTAGAAGTTCATACAGGGCTACAGGACTTAGGGGGAGTCTGGGAAAGACTTCTTCCTGGGCATGTATGATTTATCAAGATAAGGGGAACTGGAGAGACATTGTGGAGACAGAAATTGAACTTGGGGGGCAGAGCTGACCTTTGAAAGGTGTCTGTGAAAGTGATGTATTATCTTCGAGGGGAAAGGGACCTTTAGGTAGACGATAATGCTTCAGTGTATATTTGTATATCGTTCTAGTGAGGATAATGCTTCAGTGTATACAGTTCTGGTGAGGATCTTCTTACTGAACAAGACTCCTGTTCATCTCCACCCAACACCTGAAGCCAGCAGCAATGTGGGGAAAGAGAGCTCACACACTATCACTATTCATAAGAGGACCATAGACTTGATTCTATCTTCCCAGTGTTGGGGTTAGGGATACTTAGGGAATGAAAAGCAGTGGTTAGAAGTGTGGGGAAAGGTGAATGGAGATAAGGGAAGGGAAGGTACCCTCTGTCTGGAACTGTGTGGAAAGACTTCCTGGTTTCCTATTGAACATCTATTAGACAATGACAGCTTTAGCAAAACCTGAGGGTAGAGTTGTGCCCTGATATCAAAAACTCATCTGTTGGATTCTTATAGGTTCACTTGAAGGCATTGATGGCTTCCACGGGTTTGAGCCAAAAAAGATTATTTCCAATCCATCCCCCCCACACTCCCACTCCCACCCTTCACGCCCCAAAAGAAAAACAATTAGTTAGATAATACTTGCCTAGGTGATCATTCCTCAGAGATGTTATCTATAATACAACAGACCAGAGTCCACTCAACCTTCCTCAACTTCAGCAATGTGGTCTTTGGTCTCTAAACAGATGTCAACCTCAGGGGTCATCCCTCAGGTGTCTTGTTTTTTAGACAAGGTCTCTCTCACTGGCCTGCAGCTTGCCAGTTGGGCTAGACTGGTTGGTCACTGAGCCCCAGGGGATTCACCTGTCTCTGCCTCCTTAGCACTGGGATTACAAGGCCACATCACCTTGTCTTCTTGGCTTTTTTTTTTTTTATGTGAATGTGGATTCTGGGATTAAACTCACATCCTAAAGCTTGCATGGCACTTTACTGATGGAGCCAGTACTTGAGTCCAGGCCTTTAGCTGGAGGCATTTTAGCTAAGGAGGCAAAATAGCTCACGAGTCTAAGGAGGGTAAAAGTTCATTTCGTTATGGGGACATTCATGCTAACATATTTTTAAATTTTTTCCTTAGTGTAGAAGGGACTAGTTCAGGTAAAAATGTATGGGACCTATGGAAATTTGTGTGTGTGTGTGTGTGCATGAGTACCAGGTGGCAAAGATGGCTCAGGGAGTGAAGTCACTTGTCACACAAGCCTGATGACCTGAGCTCTTTTCCTAGAACCTACATAACGGTGGAAAGAGAGAACAAACTATGAAGCTGTCTTCTGAGCTCTGCACTATACACACACACACACACACACACACACACACAAAGTAAAATAAAATAAAAAATTGTGGCTCTGATATGAAGGTACATGGAGCTGGAAGGAATGAAGGAGAGACTGTGGGAGGCGGTGGAATGGGAGAGGTGTTAAGGGCTGGTCTTGAGGTCACAGACTGAATTTGAGTCTTTTTCTTGCCAGTAATGGGAGACAGAATGAGCAAACTTTTTATTTAATATTTAGAGTCTTTTAAAACCAATCACCAATGCCAAGGGTGAGGGTATACACCA